TCTTGCGCCACCATCAGGCAAAAAATGTCAACTTTTCCCACACAACATCAAAATCTAACAGGCACATTGCCAGAACATTAGCTGAGCATGTTCATGATTCGGGAGGACACACCCTTTGTTTGTTGTATTCTAACTGAACAGTTCATTCACAGAAGCACAGGTAATGAGTAGCAGTATTTTTAATGTTGCTGAGAAAGAATAACAGAATAATGGCTGTTTTTTTTCTTCTGCTGGAGAAAAATGGAAGTACAACTAATTTCTCCAACATACGTACTTCTGCTAATCTAATCTATACCTCTTACTAAAAGTAATGCAGATGTCTCATCCAAAAGCCTGGTTTTGAGAAACATTCATGGAACTAACATGTAAAAGTTTGTAAATAGGTGCTATTTTCGGTGTTGTGGTTGTGTAACAGGAAATCTGACTCAAACAGGAACAATTTAAAATGCCAATCACTGCCTCTAGATGTCACTATACCAAGGACATCTGCTCATTTTTTCTCCTGTGAAGCTTTATTCTTCATACACAGAGCATCAAATAGAAAAGATAAAGAGATTATGTACAATATGACATAATAGATTAAACATTTATTGTTGCCATTGTAGCTGCAGTTACTGTAAATAATTTGCGACATTTTAAGACACGATCAGGGTCAAAGAGCTACAAACAGAAAATATATTAAATCAAGTCGTCTGTGCAGATTCTCAGTCATCCAGGTCATAGTAAGCTGAAAAAAAAATCAGTCATGTAACAGTAAAGGTCTTTCCAGTGTGAAAGTCACTTTCGGATTTTCTTGTGTAGCAAATCGTCACACTGACGACTCGCATGTTGACATTTGGCGCGTTTTACGCCGGATGCCCTTCCTGAAGCAACCTGGATTCGAACCCGGGGCACTGCAGCGAGAGTGTAGGTCTTACCAGTGTACATTAAAAAAAGTTGTCTGTGCAGATTCTCAGTCATCCAGGTCATAGTAAGCTGAAAAAAACGTAGAAAAAATCAACTGGACTAGATTTCTAGTTTGAAGACGTTTCACCTCTCATCCAAGAGGCTTCATCAGTTCTGCCTGACTGGTGTTGAGCCAGAGATATCTATCCCCCTTGGTGGTGTTTCAGTGCTTTGAAGGCCAACAATGTCCCTTAACGACTGAGCCGTTACGGCCCAGTATCGGTGAGAGTCGTTACCTGTCTTTGAATCCTCCCCTGTGGACCGACGCCTATTGTCCTGGTGGGCATGTTTGGGCAGAGATCTCAAAACAGGGTTGTAGATGGAAGACAAGTTGTGTCTTAGTCCACCACCCCTATTTAGTGAGGGGTGTTCTATTTTTACGAAAATAGCTTCCTTAACTCCTCTCTCAAACCAGCGATGTTCTCTGGAGAGGATCTGGACTTCACTGTCCTCAAAAGAATGTCCTTTGTCCTTCAGGTGGAGGTGGACTGCTGACTCTGGTCCACTGGAGTTGGCCCTCCTGTGTTGGGCCAGTCAGAACTGACAAAGCCACTTGGATGAGAGGTGAAATGTCTTCGACCTAGAAATCTAGTCCAATTGATTTTTTCTAATGTTAGGTATTTTTAGTCAGATAGATATTGGATAGATACTTTATGTATTAGAAATGTTCAGTAGAGATAGGATGTCTAGTTAGATGTTAAATGCTTAGTCATGCTTATGAGTTTCTACAGGGTACATCTGGTCAAGGATACTAGAGAGAAGAGTTAATGACTGTCAGCAGATAGGATGTTTTATATTATTATTACGACGTGTATAACTGTAGCCTTAGCCATAATATGTTCTTATGTTTAAGTCATGACAAGTACTAGAGGTCGTGAGAATGTTTTTAGTTACACACCACTTAATCAACAGACACACACACATGCACATTGATTTGCTTCATGTTTTGACTACTGCTATGGCCAGCTGCAAGGCTGGCAACAGAGACGTCTTGGTTGACGTTTCTGTGTAGTATGGGGCTAGCCCAGCTGAGGGGATATAATGTATAGGCCTGGTGCCACTGAAAACTAAGTATAAATCAATTTCAATGCTAAAAATAAGCATGAAGAAATGTCTTGAGGTTTGGGACAACATACCGACTTTAGATGTTTCTCTATTTCCATTTGACCCTTTTTTCTTTTACACATGAAAATTGTTTCTGTGGAGCTTGCTGAATATTTAGCAGTCTACTAAAGAGATGTGCTTTTCAGTCTTAAGGCTGGTTTAATTTTCTGTGAAAGAATGCAACATTTTTCACAGGATCCTTACCTTGGAGAATCCAAAATTGGCGTAAATTAGAATACTGTACAACTGTATGCTCTTTAGTATAATGTTATTTTAAAAGCCCAGGTGAATAGAAATCTGCTAAAAGATATATCTGTTAATGAAACAGCAGAATTTAACCATCCTTGTCACTCTTTTTGCAATCAGTGAGCACTTAATGGCTACCATTGCCGGTATTTTTGTTTGGTGTAATACAACTACTCACCTCTCAGTTTTTGGCTATGCATAGGGGTTATGTGGTGGGCCAAACTGTCACCATTATCCCCATCATTGTCATTGTCGAAATAACTGATTATGTTATTTTGTAGTTCTGCGCCCTCAGCTGTCCTCGTGAAGAACTATTTAAGTTGCTTTCACTTAAATTTGCTACTTTTATCTGGTGATATTTTTCAGGTTCTTTTATCTGAGTCTAAAGTCCCTGACACAGCATGGTAACACCCTTTGCCACTGGTCAAAGGAGCGTGTCTGGACATGACCATCACCTGTAGTTAGTGTGGCGTGACTTGCTTCACTGGCACTAGTCTGCCCTAATAGCCTCTTTGCTGACTGATCACGTTGAGTTGGGGTTAAAAGCAGTCTCTCTGCTGGCTGTCTGCTGCCTGTTCAGTATGGCAAATTTTCCTGTGCTGTTTACCCTCAATTCTTCCCTCCAGTTTTTGATTCTCTTTCCACAAGCATGAACTTAACAAAGACAGTTCTAAGTTTAGTCAGACATTCTGTATTCTCAGCATTTTCTCCAATCATATAATGACAGACTGTGGTTTTACAATGGCCGCCTGGCTTGGTTTGCCTATTTGGAAACTTTTAAAAAACTGGCTAAGTGGTCTTTTGCTTTTGTGCAGGCGCAATGGCACCTGTGATTGTTGGTGGTCAGCTGGTCAACAAATGTAGTCTTTAGTTAGCTTAACAGAAGATGTACAGTAACATGAGGCAATGTATGTACTATAAAGTGTTTGACAAGCTTGCTTTTATCAGGTGAGCTAGATTAGACAGGGTAAACATGCTACCTTCCGCCAATTTCTCTGTGTTGTACAAGGCGCTATGTCACATTGTTGACTACATCTCGGCCAACCTGTCTCAAGTCCTTTCACTGTATAATGTGTCGACATGCAGGATCTTGCAAGACTGTGCTGTCTGTGCTCCAGACATTCACTGATGGATTCTGTGGGATCTACCTGCATGATGTCTTTCAGTCTAGAGAGGAAATTGTGTATAGTGCTTCTCTTCGATGACACAGTTGTTCATAGAGCAACAACATACTGTATGTGCTCTATAATTCCATGTTGACTGAAAGTGTCACGACCACTGTTTCTTTTTTCAGTTTCTGTAAAAATCTGGAGATTTATATTTTAAAACCGTCTACTGAAAAAGGTAGCGGCTTGAGATACTATTTGTTTCCCAGCAAATCCTTATAGATTTACATCTTGAATATAAGGTTTGTTAACCCATCTAAAACCTTTAATCAGCATGTGACTGAACACAATACATTAAACAAAACTATGTCAGCATTTGAGTTTTTGAATGTCACCACTTTGTCTCTATGAACCATTAAATAAGGGCAAAAACTCATGAAAACAAATGAAAACAAGGCGTTTACGTAGTTCCGCATTAGCAATTAGATTAAGCAATAGATAGGCGTTTACGTAGTTCCACATTAGCAATTAGATTAAGCAATAGATATCAGAATGATATATATATGGAGTTTCATTACATTTTTGTGCAGAAAGCTATGTGTGAATTGTTCTCCAACCACTGCAATGTCTTGTCTACTGATGATTCTGAAGACTGAATCACCAAATACACACAAGGTATGTAGCAGCTGCTGTTGCACGTGTTGCCTAGTGGAGCCTGTGATCTGCAAAAGCTGTTAATTTGAAAACTGTACAGGCCACCGATTCCATAGAGGCACTACATTTTTAGTGTAGCCTAGATGGATTTGTTCATAAATATAGGTAAAAAGACTTGCCTACCTTCAAAACTTCTATCTTTTATATTTGGATTGCTGACCTTGACTGAGTATATGAGAGCAAGAGAGAAGCACTGGGTCAAGGAGAGCACAGCTACCAACTCCCACTCCCACATGGATTTTGTGGACAAACAAGGTGACTGACCATGAAATGGACTAAAGCAGAAGCAAAGGTTTGGGCTATTCCAGCAACAAACATTTTAACGCTTATGATTAGAACATCACCATAACTCGACCTCTGCTGGCCTCCTGAGGAACTACAGGTTTCACACACAAGTAACACCACAAAATGGCTGACCTGTATAATGCTGGATAATGGCTAAGGACAGCTAAAACTACAGACCGTAGGTTGCTGTTCATTAATATAATGGACTGGATCTTTAGGAGGCTGAGAATCAACTGATGTGTTCTTGTCTTGTTAGAATCCATCAATTCACAGTGGAATAAAGCACCTATTGTATAAAACAGGCTAAAAAAAAAAAGACCTCTCACAGTTACCATACTAAGAGGCTTATTCTCCCTATTATCTTGTTGGGCTGCTTTCTCATCTCATGTACATACAATTTTTAACATTTTTTTAAAATAATCACCAAAACCACTCAAATTTCAGTCACATGTTAGTTACATAAGCACATACAGGGCAATTCAAACACACCCACACCTGTGATGGCAAACCTAAAACCCTACAACCACACCAATGTGTGTAGGTTAGTTACAGACATTTTTCAGACTGTTGTTCCACTGACTCCTCCTCCACTGTGTGATCCCTCCCCCTCAGCCCGGGTTTGTGTCTGCCACGGACAACTCAGACACCCCTCCCCCTCCATGCTAATGTTCTGCTGCCTGTTGTCCCGACTTCCAGCGGACAGCTCTGTGACATTGTTTTAACCACGCTGCAGTTTGGTTACACCAAGGAGATGTGCAGCTGCTCTAAACTAGACTTGTGTTAGTCCTGCCAGATCCTCCACACGACCGCTCTATCACGTCCTGGAGCTGTTCATACCTACCTTGCCGGCTTTAGCTGCCGACTTTCAGACCCGCTTCCAGTCGAGAGACCAGAAAAAAGAGAAAAGAACCAGGAAAACTAGCGTTCAGGTTGCGACTGCTTGGCGCCTGTGGACCAACCCCCACCACCACCGACCATTGACGTAGGGGTATGGTGGATTTTTTTGTGTGTGTACGAAAAGAGGAGGAGTCTGTGAGCAAGAGGGGAGAACAGTCGGTTGAGTCCTCGAGTGTACGCTCCATAGTTGTGGCACAGCTCACTAGTTTTCCCGGTGAATGTTGAAACCGATGGACTTGATGCCCTGCTGATACCGCATCCTGGTCGTAACGGTTGTACACAAAAGGACAGGACAGCCTGCAGAGTGCGACGGCGGCAAGAGGAGGAGGAGAAAGTCGGCTGCAGACCCAGACTGAAAATCGCGGGAACATCGCTTGAACACGGGGAGTCGGTGAGTCGAGGTATTGCAGCTAGCATGCTAGCCGAGTAACATTACTTCTCAGTTGACAGTTTATTTAACTCAAAACGCTAAAGTGCTTCTTGGACCTTGAGCTCATAAATATAAACACATAGTCATGAATTGCAAAAAAATTTTTTTTCTGTTAATTGTATGTGGGTCGCGAATTTAGCCCTACACGTTGGGATTTTACCTTACGTAGAAGGTAATGTTAGCTAGCATTAATAACTTAATGACTAGCTAATACGTCAGTGATATATTAGTTTTAGGAACTTTTTTTAAATTTTCACTTTAATGGTAAAAGGGTTTTTTATAAGAAACTCCCACACGACTGACGATGACCTGATTTTTTTTCTGTAAATAGTGCTGCAGTTTACCCGTAGTAAAAATTGTTTATAAAACTATGGGATTGCCAATCGGGCATGAATTAATATTAAATTTTACATTGTTGGATTTTTCTTATTACACTGTTAATGTGTCTTTTATAATTTTACATAAAAATGAACTTTGTTTTGCATATAATTTTAAAGTATGACCATTCTTGTTGCTAAGCAGCAGCAACCTGGTTCAAGAACACCTGTTAACACATACATAAGCAAGCCATATAAACAAAATGAAAAAAGTGTTCTGTGTTGAGAGGCCCTCACACCACTCATGTTGTCTATAGTCAGACACAGGTAATAAGATACTTTTTAAAAATGTGATTCATTGACATGTAGCAACTGGAAATATACAGTTGCATCTTTGGTGTCTTTGAACCCTACCAAGTCGATTAAGTGGCTTGGCTGTAATGGCGCTAAACAGCAAGCGTGTCCAGTATACTGCAGAAGTGGCAGCTTGAGGAGAGGCAAAAAGGAAGATATTTTGATGAGAACTCGCCTCTTCTGAGATAAGTAAGATATATATATATATAGTAGAAAAATAATAAAATACCTTTATCATTTTAGTTATCGCCATTGGTAGAGGTTTAATGAAGCATTTACGGCTCCTATTAAACACATACATGATCTAATGCAGATTATTAGAGTATCCCAAAATTAAAATTTGTTCTCTTCCTCAAAATAACCACTAAAATGGGGCCTGAATGGCACAGAGTAAAAAAAATGCTAAGGTGAAGAACAAACTGCTGCATTCCCTACATTGTGCAGTTCCTACTACTACTACTACACCCCCATCCCCCTTTTGAATTGGTACAGTCCAGTAATTTTCCATGCACCACACTGTCCTAAGATGTGGGTGTGGCCTAATGTCAACAGTAATACAGGACTTGAGATGTTTTTCTCTTTTCCCTGGCTTATAGGTTTCAAAAAAAAAATTGCATCTTTTTTTGACTGAGGTGAAGTGATGCACAGAGAAGTGACCAATTTTGTGTTTGCTTTATGAACCTGAGAGAGATAGGTCTGCCACAGTTTGAGGAATTGGGCACTCAGTAAAATCTGACTGTTTCATCATATTCATGATGTTTTAAAAATTTACACTCAATTTAGTCCATAAATTGAGCTGTTCCAGGTTTGCTTTTACCTTTTTTGCAACATGGTACGGCCCTGCTTCTAGATTCACCTCCCCCACTTCACCCAGTGGCAGTGCTCACATGGTGCACTTGTAATTCATTACACAGTCTGGTTTTTTTTTTCATCTACAGAAGAGGAAGCAGCCTTGAAATGCTCCACCTACATTTTCAGCAGTTCTCATGTAGCTGTTAGGAGTCGTTATTTTTTTACTTTATTAAATCTATTTAACCTCTCATCCAAAACAATTTGTGAATATTTTCTATCGCTCATACAACTGCTACAACAATTTTCAGAGCTAGCTGAAAAATAGATACTTAATGAGAATGTAGGAAAATGGCGGTTCTGCCTGCCTTACAAATGTCCTACATATGGATAAAAGGAGGATTTGTGTACCTGGTAGTGACACCTTTCTCAAACCTGATTTTTCAGTGTTTCTTTCGAAGTCTCTCATTTCAGCTGAAGTACCTGTTTGTCACATCAGCTTGTTGGTAGATGTTAGAGAGCATAGGGATATATTGCCAGATGATCTACAACTCTAACTTTTACGAATAAAATGTGATATGGCACTTGATGGATGAGAAGCCAGCCATTTTATAAGAGGGATACAGTATGCACCTACATATGGGATTCTTGAACAAGTCATGCCCAGCTTTTTCCTGTTTCCAACACACGACAAAAACTGCATATGTACTTTGTGAATACTGTAGGTATTAAGACACATCCTGTACTATTGTTCATTTTTGAATTACAAAGTGTATAAAGTATCCAACTTAACACTCATTTAGTAGTGGTCTGCCAATGTGAAATGTTTGGCCTCTTTAAAATCCAGTTTTTAGAGACATTGCTGATGTAGATGTGTTTTGGGGTGATGGCGGGTTCCAATCCTGTATTTAGTTTTGATGATGTAATAGTCCATTCCCAAAATGTCAGCTTTTTTAAAAAGTTTTTCAAGCCATGCCAAGTTAATAAGGATTGGTTGAAACCAGTTGCTGTCGGTTTCTTTTGCTTCAGGATGAATGAGAGCAATCTTGGTTCATTCTCAAAATGCCCTGTGATTGTTATTTATCATTTATGTCTTGCCATGCTGATAATTATAAAGACTGGCTTGTTAGTATTTGCGATATGAAATGAAGGGGGTGGACAAAATAATGGAAATGCCTGTCAGTATAAGGCAGGACCTTTCAGCAGCACTACAACTTAAATCTTCCGAAATAATCATACAGCTGAGTCAAAATCTCTCTAAAACATCACCTTTGTGACAAGAAGATCATTTGCAGGACTGCTGTATTAGACTGCCTTAGTTTTAGCTTGGTGTACCTAATAACCTACCAGCTGAATGTATGTTTAGACTTGAACATACATAGATCTACAGTGCTTCTCCTTCCACTCCCATTGCTTTGTGCAGTATGTTGCAGTGTGTCTGCTCCATTTGTTTAGTAGTGGGAGCCCAATGCCAGAATTTTTAATGCTATGGCAATCCCCCTGTGCGTAATCTGGCCCTATATAGCACTATTTACCCTCTTTTAAATGTGCATCTTGTTAAGTAAACGTGATGGCAATTTAACATATTGCTCACATGTCTGAGTAAATGCCCTAATCATGATGACAGTATCTGTTTTGGTGATTAATATAAAGGATACAACAGGTGAAACATGCAGAGACAAAGAGCCTTCTTTTTAGTCTTGCTGTGGGTATTTGGTGTTGTGCAATAACCATCTCCTTTTTGCACACAAGGAATAAAGTTTTATTTTTTTTCGTACACCATGAAACATAGTGAAGCAGCCAATTTTAACTTGTTGAAGGGACTCTTCTCATGTCGGATTAGTAAAAAAAAAATTTTTCCACTTGCAGTATCATGAAAAAACCACAACAAAAACTAAACAAAACAAAAATACCCTTGTGCAGTAGACATCCTCCCTCCTAATATTTTCAGTTTTTCTTAATGAAAACTGCATAGATGAATAAATGGATCTCTAGCAAAAGCTTTACATAGAGTATTTGAGCAAGTAGGAATTTAGCAAGAGATCCAACTTAGCATCTTGCTTTAACAGAACAAAACCTTGACTGAATAGCCAGCAGCAGTGCTGAAGAATGTTTAGACATAGCATATATATTTTTTTACCTTCCATTATTTACACAAGTTTGGTTACTGAAACAGGTAAACCCCCGAGTGTTGCGAGCCTGTGGGGATCATCTAGCTAGTGTGTATACAGACATCTTCAACTGGTCTTTAAAGGCCCTTTCACACCAGACGCAAATTTAACGCGCGATTTATTCGTGCGTCAATAATATTTTTCGAACCAATAACTTGTCAATGATACATTGCACACCGCCGACGTAATTTCGCGACGCGAAAAGCGACATTAATTTTTTTCGCCTCCGGGTTGATTTTTCCAACTTGTCGCGGCGACGGCAGCACCTCGCTTAATCCAATTTGTTTCAGCGAATTCAGTTATGATAAAAAGGACAAAAACTACAAAGATAATGAATACAAAGATAACATATGGAGACGGATAGCAGAGGATCTTCACTTGCTTGTGAACTAAACTGATTTCATTACAAATAAACAAATTTTCATTTTTTTTTTTGTCAGACACATGGCCAGGCGCTGTTCTTGCTTGTTGTCCACTTTATTACCCTTCATTCCAACCCTTTTTCTCCTCGGACAAGCAGTACATCGTCGTCGCTTGATGTAGAGTCCATTTTTGTAGCGCGATGTTTTAAGAAAATATCACTTATTCGCGTCGCGTTCGGTGTGAATACTTATTCGCGTCGCGTTCGTTGTGAATACTTTTGGTGCGTTAAATTCGCCTACGTTTTTTTTCCACTTTTTTGTCTCGCTTATTTGCGTCGCGTTCGGTGTGAAAAGGCCTTAACCCAAGCAGTAGTTTCTCACATTTTCAAAAAAAAGCCATTATCATACCGGTCCCAAAGACGTCAGACACATCCACTCTGAATGACTTCAGGCCAGTGGCGCTCACATCAGTCGCCATGAAGTGCTTAGAGAAACTGGTCCTCACACACATTAACCACATGGTCCTGGACACTATAGACCCCCTCCAGTTTGCCTACCGCCCCAACAAATCAGTGGACGATGCGATGGCTCTGGCTTTATTCCATACCCTGAAACACCTGGACAACAGCAGTACGTATGCTAGGATGCTCTTCCTGGATTACAGTTCTGCATTCAACACCATTCGCCTGGGCAGGCTGATTGGGAAGATGACAGACCTCGGTGTGCCAACTCCCACCTATAACTGGGTTCTGGACTTCTTGAGTGAAAGACCACAGATGGTCAGAATGGGAGGGCTGAGATAACAATCAGCACAGGCTCACCGCAGGGCTGCTGTCTCAGCCCCAAACTCTTCACCCTGTACACCCACGACTGTGTCTCCAACCATGACAACACCATCATCATTAAATATGCTGATGACACCACCGTTCTGGGCCTCATCAAGGGGGGAGACAAGTCAGGCTACAGAAGCCTGGTGAA